CTCTGTGACAGTGTGGTTACATCACTGTGTGCTTCACCTGTGTATGTCAATTCACCCTACTCTACCATTATACCTTATACCCCTATATATTGTCACAGTGGAAATCAGAGCGCGAAGGCGGAAAAAGACAACAAAAAAACGGATGGAATGGAATGGAATGTTATTAGATGATTTCAGGTTGGAATTGATGGATTACGGAATTTTCGATGATGTCAACACTCTCAACAGCTATCCATTTTGGATAATGGCAGCTATATCGTGTATAAGGTCGGCTTTACTAAGTAGATACATAGTATGATTATATGATTATTATCATTATTTTTTTTATTATTATTGTCATGTTATGGGATTATCGCAATTTACTTATTTAAAAGGCATTGGAATCATTATTCGTTTTTTTTTTAGAACGGACAATATGCGTATTTACGTCAATATGCGTATTTACGTTTTAAGTTTTGACTTTTAACATGATATATATACACTGGCGTTGATGAACCCTTTTTTTTTTTTTTTTTTTTTGAAATGAAACTGACATCGACTGGATTTATAATGCGAATATCTTTTTTTTTTTTTTTTGGGTCTTTTTTCTTATGCGCGGGCCGAGGATGGAAGACGCGTGTTCGAAATTTCTTGGCCATTGCTTGACACTGTTCTTTGTTTTTTCTTTTTTTTTTGAACGTGTTAGCACCTGCTATTATTCGAATTTGGATTCATTAAAAAAAAAAAAAAAAAAGGATTCATCTGATTTCCACGGGCTCCGAACTCATGACGTGTTCATTAACAGTTGTATGCATTTTTTTTTATGCCACTCAGCCACATGGGGGCATTTGCACGTCTGCCCCTGCTCAAAAAGACTCTCACTCGCACTTGCCTGGGGCTTGGTCCCACTAGCAAAGAGGATTGGAGGACTGAAACGCCTGAATCTGGACGTGTTTGGGGGAGATGTGCAGAAAAAACCGCGATTGATCTGCATTTCAAAAACCCACCAGATTCAGGCGCTTAATCCAATCTTCTTTTCGAGTGGGACCTTCCCCCCCCCCCCCGGTCACCTTTCCAATGTTTTTTTAAATATATCAATTTATTTATTAATTACTATTCGCATAGATGGTGGTCGGTTTCTCTCTCACTACTTAACTGCTTATCTACTTGTGAAGAATTATCTCGTATAGATGCGTATGCTTCGGTTCCCCGAAGTTTCTGGGGGTGCTGACGGTTCCAGTGTTGACTATCGCCCCTTTAACTCAAACCCCTTTTCCTCAAACTCAAACCCCTTTAAGTGAAACCCTTTAACTCAAACTTTAACTCAAACCCCATTAACTGAAACCCCTTTGAGGAGCGGAAGTCTCTGGGGGTGCTGACGGTTCCAGTGTGGGCTACCACCCCTTTTTTCCTCAAACTCAAACCCCTTTAAGTGAAACCCTTTAACTCAAACNGGAAGTCTCTGGGGGTGCTGACGGTTCCAGTGTGGGCTACCACCCCTTTTTTCCTCAAACTCAAACCCCTTTAAGTGAAACCCTTTAACTCAAACCCCTTTAACTCAAACCCCCTTTAACTCAAACCCTGTTAACTCGAATTCCTTTTTCCTCAAACCTCTTTAACTCAACCCGATAGATGCAATGGTAAGGATTCTGGCCCGTTTCTTGTAATATATGCATTATTCTGTGCTTTGGGTTAACTCGTCACCTGAAGCGCAGAATAATGCATACATGATATATACTCGACCAGATTCAATGCTTGGGTTTAACAAGGAAGACATGGGATGCAGAACCTGCATGCAGATGGTTGGTTTCACACTACTTATATCTGGTTGTGGATAAGGAGCAAACACTACTGACTGATCTGAACGTAGATAAGGAGCAAACACTAATTATCGATACCTTTCGCGCCATTTTGGCTAAAAATAGATCATGCTTTGTATCTGATATCTGATCAGGTTGAATATCTCCTCCGTGGTCCATAGGGCCAAAAAAAAGATAAAAGGGAACAAGTTCGAATAGCAAACCTTATCTTTTTGTGGGTAAGGAGCAAACACTATTTGTCAATACCTTTTGCGCCCTTTTTGCTAAAAATGGATCACGGGATCTTCTTTTTCTTTTCTTTTCTTTTTTTTTTTTCTTTTTTTTTTTTTTTTAACACGCCCATGGCTTTGAAGTATTATCATCAGACTAACCAGGCCAGGTA